TCAAATACTATTCGTAATAAACACATTTGAATTTACTGTTGAGTTAGAAATTACTTGAGAATATATGTATAATCCCATTCATGGCTAAAATTAATTAAACATTTCTTCCCCTTGTTGTTGGAACTATTACATGGGCTGAAGTCCTCGATCGAGCTTTATTTTCTCATGTGTTTGTGGAGTAATTAGTGAAAAATTTAGTGCATAATTTTTGCGTTGTTCAATTGTTGATTTGAAGTTTAAACGGTCCAGGCTAATTGTGGCGGTTTTTAATGTTATTTTTAAAGCTTTTAATGCATTAAATACCGTCGTCATGTGGACGTTTTTACGTTGACATGTCTAGGAAACTACCGCTGGCTGTAGCAGAACAACCGTTGCATTAAATGCTTTGTGCAAATTGCTTTATTTAACTTTTTATGGTTCTCATTCTTGTTAGTATTTATTTTTTTATTGTAAATATTCAATACTAGACGAATGGCCCGGGCAACGCCCGGGTTTTACCCGAGTGCGTATATATTTTAAAAACGTTTTAATTCAAATAATATTCGTTACAATTATAAATTGGCGCCATGGATGTCACTCTTGTGAAACGTCCCGTTCCAAACTGTGTGTTTTTAAAATTTTTTAATTAAAATACTATTCGTTTATACAAATTTATTTTTATTCAAATATTAGTGCTTTATAATGGCTATCTCCTTGATGTTACCAATTTAAAAGTTTATTTTATAATTTTTGATTGTATAAGAAACATATTTTCATTTAAGTATTGTACTTTATATGAACGGAAAAATATGTCCAGGGTAGCCTAGTGGTCATGGCATCTGCCCGGTAAGCGGAAGGTCGTGGGTTCGATTCCCATCCCTTGACACTTTTTTATTTTATCCATTCTGACCAAAATCTATCCGTGAATTTCACACAGTGAACTTCACACAGACAGAATAAGGCAATTATATAATATGCATAATTATAAAGATAGAAGCTTCTATAGAAATAACTAAAATAAACCAAAATAGCTCAGTTGGGAGAGCGTTAGACTGAAGATCTAAAGGTCCCTGGTTCGATCCCGGGTTTCGGCATCTTTTTTTAATATTTTAATTTTTTAAAACGATGACAGAATTGATGACTGACCAAAATCTATCCGTGAACTTCAGACAGTGAACTTCACACAGACAGAATAAGGCAATTATATAATACTAGACGAATGGCCCGGGCAACGCCCGGGTTTTACCCGAGTGCGTATATATTTTAAAAACGTTTTAATTCAAATACTATTCGTTACAATTATAAATTGGCGCCATGGATGTCACTCTTGTGAAACGTCCCGTTCAAAACTGTGTGTTTTTAAAATGTGTTAATTAAAATACTATTCGTTACAATTATAAATTGGCGCCGTGGATGTCTCTCTTGTGAAACGTCCCGTTCAAAACTGTGTGTTTTTAAATGTTTTAATTAAAATACTATTCTTTACAATTATAAATTGGCGCCGTGGATGTCTCTCTTGTGAAACGTCCCGCCCCAAACTGTGTGTGTCTTGAAAATATAAAAATAAAAATGTGAATTTTCATAAAGATTTCATCATGTCGATTTTTTTTTTTTGCATTTCACCTACTAAATCGATAGAGATAATTACATTTGCAACATGAACTTAGGTATATTGACTAAATAGAAAACTGCATAGTAATAAAGATCATTTTTTAAAGGCACCATATCGTTTTTTTTTCAATAAAATCGAAACAAAAATTAACGATAAATAACGATAATTGCCTTAAAAAGAAATTGCCTTAAAAAAAAGAAACATTCGCGGTGATTTTGTCTTGCATTCGTTTATACAATTATTATATACGAATGACCCGGGCAACGCCCGGGTTTTACCCGATTAAATGCTTTTATTCAAATACTATTCGTTACAATTATAAATTGGCGCCGTGGATGTCATTCTTGTATAATATATAAATGAGTTTTAAAAATTGTAAAAAAAAAAAAAAATGCATCGGCCGGGAATCGAACCCGGGCCGCCCGCGTGGCAGGCGAGCATTCTACCACTGAACCACCGATGGTTATGAAAATTCCCATCCGTGAGCTTCAGACAAACAAACAGACAGAATAAGGCAAATATATAAGTAGATACGAATGACCCGGGCAACGCCCGGGTTTTACCCGATTAAATGCTTTTATTCAAATACTATTCGTTACAATTATAAATTGGCGCCGTGGATGTCATTCTTGTATAATATATAAATGAGTTTTAAAAATTGTAAAAAAAAAAATGCATCGGCCGGGAATCGAACCCGGGCCGCCCGCGTGGCAGGCGAGCATTCTACCACTGAACCACCGATGGTTATGAAAAATCCCATCCGTGAGCTTCAGACAGACAAACAAACAGACAGAATAAGGCAAATATATAAGTAGATGCATAATTATAAAGATAGAAGCTTCTATAGAAATAACTAAAATAAGCCAAAATAGCTCAGTTGGGAGAGTGTTAGACTGAAGATCTAAAGGTCCCTGGTTCGATCCCGGGTTTCGGCATCTTTTTTTAATATTTTAATTTTTTAAAACGATGACAGAATTGATGACTGACCAAAATCTATCCGTGAACTTCAGACAGTGAACTTCACACAGACAGAATAAGGCAATTATATAAGTAGATTACATTAATAAACTCTAATTTGAAATTAAAAATCTTTAATTTGAATTTTAAAAAATTAATCTATATATATAAAAATGTGAAAAAATAGTACAAATGTAACATTGTACTGGGATAAGGTGCATAAATTAAGAAAAAGGCATCTCCTTATCGTGCAACTGAAAGTTGCTGATGGCTGGCGCCATCTATCGGAATAAATATCAAATATTCTCGTTGATTTTTAATTATTCCAGAATTGGCCAAATACCCATTCTTGATTAATCAGATGTCTTTTTCTTAATTTATGCACCTTATCCCAGTACAATGTTACATTTGTACTTTTTCTTTCACATTGTGTAGCGTCCTCACGCAATTCTGGCCTTAACTACCCGTTTCATGATTTTTCAGGATGCCTTAATGACCAATTTTTTGGTCGTTGAGGTACAGCTTGCACCACGCTGATGAGGGCCAACAGCCCGAAACGCGTCCGTGGTTAGCTTTTCTTGATTAATCAAGAATGGGTATTTGGTCAATTCTGGAATAATTAAAAATCAACGAGAATAGTTGATATTTATTCCGATAGATGGCGCCAGCCATCAGCAACTTTCAGTTGCACGATAAGGAGATGTCTTTTTCTTAATATATAAAAATGAATGTATGTGTGTGTGTCTGTCTGTCCTTCATGCCTGACCAAACCACTCATTGGAACGCCATGAAACTTTGGGAAGTTATTTAGTATAGTACTGGGAAGGTTTCTAGCAAATAAAATTTTTGAAATAACTTTTCGCTTTAAAATAATCAAGATAAATATTCTAATTTATCTGTTATAATTCAACAATCTGCTCTAAATATTATCATGATGATACGATGATTTTGTAATGTAGAAAATTAGGAAAGACAAAATTCTGGATGACACGGCAATTTATTTGAGACAAGAATAATGATACAATTCCAAGGCAAGATACTATTCCTTTAACTTCCAATTACCGAGGGAACCAATTAATATTGATTTTATTCAACTTATCGAGTATTTTTCAAGGGACCGGGAAAAAATGTTCACTTTACTCGGGTAAAACCCGGGCGAAGCCGGGTACGTCCATACAAGAACAATGATACAATTCCAAGGCAAGATACTATTCCTTTAACTTACAATTACCGAGGGAACCAATTAATATTGATTTTATTCAACTTATCGAGTATTTTTCAAGGGACCGGGAAAAAATGTTCACTTTATCGAGAGATTCGTTAGACAAACCTTTACTCGGGAAAAACCCGGGCGAAGCCGGGTACGTCCGCTAGTTTGAAATAAAAAATCTTAAATTTGAATTCTAAAAAAATTAATTTGAAATTAAAATACTTTAATTTGAAGTTAAAAACCTATATATATATAGATCAACCCTATTTACACAATTTAGATTGAAAGCCAAAAACTGTTGCATTACTTCTTCCCCTTGAAAATATCGCGCCTCGCTGTTTGGAGCTAATTTACAGGATGAGCACACTATATTTGATGTGTCGCTCTGCTGTTGGACCAGTGGGGCTGATGTCGGTCTATAGCGGAGTAAACCTCCATACAACGTCCTTAACATTGCGTCTCCTTGATGTTCTTCGAGACCATAGGTGACGTCAGATAGCCTACGCAACACTCTGTATGGACCGGATTCTGAAAGTCCGTCGAATGGGAATAAATATCCAGACGAGATCTCCGGGCGGTAGTAAGACATCCGGTGGGGTGAGTTGTATCTCTTTCTGCTGCACTTCCACAGACCAGATCTCCGGGCGGTAGTAAGACATCCGGTGTGGTGAGTTGTATCTCTTTCTGCTGCACTTCCACAGACGAGATCTCCGGGCGGTAGTAAGACATCCGGTGTGGTGAGTTGTATCTCTTTCTGCTGCACTTCCACAGACCAGATCTCCGGGCGGTAGTAAGACATCCGGTGTGGTGAGTTGTACCTCTTTCTGCTGCACTTCCACAGACCAGATCTCCGGGCGGTAGTAAGACATCCGGTGTGGTGAGTTGTATCTCTTTCTGCTGCACTTCCACAGACGAGATCTCCGGGCGGTAGTAAGACATCCGGTGTGGTGAGTTGTACCTCTTTCTGCTGCACTTCCACAGACGAGATCTCCGGGCGGTAGTAAGACATCCGGTGTGGTGAGTTGTATCTCTTTCTGCTGCACTTCCACAGACGAGATCTCCGGGCGGTAGTAAGACATCCGGTGTGGTGAGTTGTATCTCTTTCTGCTGCACTTCCACAGACGAGATCTCCGGGCGGTAGTAAGACATCCGGTGTGGTGAGTTGTACCTCTTTCTGCTGCACTTCCACAGACGAGATCTCCGGGCGGTAGTAAGACATCCGGTGTGGTGAGTTGTACCTCTTTCTGCTGCACTTCCACAGACGAGATCTCCGGGCGGTAGTAAGACATCCGGTGTGGTGAGTTGTATCTCTTTCTGCTGCACTTCCACAGACGAGATCTCCGGGCGGTAGTAAGACATCCGGTGTGGTGAGTTGTACCTCTTTCTGCTGCACTTCCACAGACGAGATCTCCGGGCGGTAGTAAGACATCCGGTGTGGTGAGTTGTATCTCTTTCTGCTGCACTTCCACAGACGAGATCTCCGGGCGGTAGTAAGACATCCGGTGTGGTGAGTTGTATCTCTTTCTGCTGCACTTCCACAGACGAGATCTCCGGGCGGTAGTAAGACATCCGGTGTGGTGAGTTGTATCTCTTTCTGCTGCACTTCCACAGACGAGATCTCCGGGCGGTAGTAAGACATCCGGTGTGGTGAGTTGTATCTCTTTCTGCTGCACTTCCACAGACGAGATCTCCGGGCGGTAGTAAGACATCCGGTGTGGTGAGTTGTACCTCTTTCTGCTGCACTTCCACAGACGAGATCTCCGGGCGGTAGTAAGACATCCGGTGTGGTGAGTTGTACCTCTTTCTGCTGCACTTCCACAGACGAGATCTCCGGGCGGTAGTAAGACATCCGGTGTGGTGAGTTGTACCTCTTTCTGCTGCACTTCCACAGACGAGATCTCCGGGCGGTAGTAAGACATCCGGTGTGGTGAGTTGTACCTCTTTCTGCTGCACTTCCACAGACGAGATCTCCGGGCGGTAGTAAGACATCCGGTGTGGTGAGTTGTATCTCTTTCTGCTGCACTTCCACAGACGAGATCTCCGGGCGGTAGTAAGACATCCGGTGTGGTGAGTTGTATCTCTTTCTGCTGCACTTCCACAGACGAGATCTCCGGGCGGTAGTAAGACATCCGGTGTGGTGAGTTGTACCTCTTTCTGCTGCACTTCCACAGACGAGATCTCCGGGCGGTAGTAAGACATCCGGTGTGGTGAGTTGTACCTCTTTCTGCTGCACTTCCACAGACGAGATCTCCGGGCGGTAGTAAGACATCCGGTGTGGTGAGTTGTATCTCTTTCTGCTGCACTTCCACAGACGA